CCCGTGGGCATCCCCCCGGGGCGGCGGGGGCGCCCGGGGACCAGTCACCCACCCCTGCCCACGGCCACGCTGCCTGCCCGGGAAGTGCTGGGGTCCCGGGACAGCCCCGGGCAGGGTGCAGCCCCCGGGGGCCCAGCCTCCCCCCGGCAGAGCGGGGGCCGCCAGCTGCCGCCTGCCCGCCCGCCGAGCCCCTCGCACTGTGTAATTTGCTAATAATAATAATTATGGCGCACGCAGGTTAGAAGTGCAGTGGAACAATAACCTGGTTAATGCCTTGCTGCGTGCTGCGGCGGGAGCCACACCATGGCACGTGCCTGGCCCTGGCACCGTGCTGGCCCTGAAGCTGCCCGCCGCGCGTGGGAGCCCTTGCCCGAAGCGTGGGGGGACACGGCCCAGGCAAGCACCTGGAGCAGGTTTTTAAGCAGCCGTGTCCTGGTGGTTTGTGGCCACGTCCCAGCGCTGTGGTCGTTAGCCAGACTGGCTGTGTCACCAGGCAGGGCTGTCCCCAGTGGCCACACCACCAGTCACCCAGCAGGATGGCCAGGGTGGAGGACACGAGTGTTTCCCCGGGGTGGCATGGGGCCACAGGAGAGCAGCACGCCGTGGGGAGAGCGAGGCCGGATCCAGGTCCTGCTCCCAGCGCTGTGGCTCTGCAGAGCCACCCCCATCTCAGGGCACTGCTCAGCAGCCCCGTGGCCCCCATCGCCATCCCCACCACTGAACAGTCCCTTCCCTGGGACACCCCGCAGAGCCAGAGCTGGAGCTGGGGCTGCCCCCACCAGAGAGCCCCCCAAAAGTCCTGCTGCCCCCCGGGAGGGGAGCCCCAGCCCTCGCCAGGCCCTGCAGCACCCTGCCTTGCCACCGGCATGGCTGCTCCTGCTGCATGCGGGGAGTGGAGCTCTGCCCACCTCCCTGAGCAGTTACATAAAAGGATTAAAATTTAATATGAACTTCAAAAAGGGAACAATCGGGTGGTCGAGGACAGCTGGGCCAGGGCCAGGTGTGGAGCAGGGGCACCCTTGGCCACATCCCGGCTCTGCCGAGACACGACACTGCAGCACACGGAGACCAGCTCCGTCCAGCCCAGCCCACGGGCAAGGCTGCATGGAGCCAGAGCAAAGTACCCAGGCACCACGGGCACCCTGGCGTTCTGCGAGCCCGCGATGGGTTAACTGTGCCATGGTCTCCCCAAGTCACGATGGTGCACGATTCCCATGGCACATGGGGGCCTCATCCCCCCCGGGGCCTGGCCTTGCCCCACAGCTTTGCTGGCAGCCAAGCAGCCTTTAATAACCCACCACTGACAGGCACAGGCAGCACCCAGCCATCCCGGTGCCCAGCTGCCACCCTGCCCATGCTGTGCCGGTGGTCGCCCGGGCAGCCCATCTCCTCCTGCCCAATGCCTCACGCTTCCTTCCCAGGCACCGGTGGGTTGGAACGTGCTGGAGAGCAGCCCTGTGCTGGGGGGTGAGACCCCTGGTCAGGGGGCAGCTGATGCACCCCAGCCCCTGGCGCCCACCGTCGTCCCCCTGCCCCGTGCGCCCCCGAGCCCGTGGGGCAGTGCACCACCACCCCTCTTGTCCGCGCAGCGCCGGGGAGCGGGGCTGCGGTGGCGGCAGGAATGAGCCAGGGCTGGGAAAACACCATCTTCCGCCCACGCAGCCGCCCACGGCCCTGCGCTGGCTCCGCCGCCCCCGCCGTTTGCCGGGGCTCACCGGGAAGGTGGGCGGCAGGCACGGGGCTGGGGGCTGCGCTGTGCCCACCATGGCCACCCACCCGTGGGGAGGGCAGGGGATGGGGCAGGGGGGAGCAGGGCCCAGCAGCCCCCGGTGCAGGAGCCACCCCGGCGCAGGCTCCAGCTGCAGGAGCAGGTCTGAGCCATGGCTGGGGCTGGGGGGCCAGGGCTGGGGCCCAGGGGCTGCCCCACGCCCAGCCCTGCCCTGGGGCGCAGGAGCGGCTGGTGCTGCTCAGTGTACGGCACAGGTGCCCTCCAGCAAAGAGACTGGGGAAGCCTTTGGCTCATTCATTTTTAATCCTGGCTGAGAGCAGGAGGGATGCGGGCGCGAGGCTTGGGCACGCTGCAGGACAGGACCGGCTGCGGGGCCCCAAACAGCTCACCCCGGGGCAGCCAGGCTCATGCCATGGGTGTCTTTGATCATGCGTGTCCCCATGGGATGGAGACCCCCGGGAGGGGACAGCAACCCCTGGGCATCCCTCCCTGTCCTGTCTCACCACGTCCCACTGCAGCTCAGCCTCCCTCCGCAGCAGCTCAGCCCCCCCCTCCGGGTGAGCCGCCCCCCCAGTGCCTGCGAATGTGGAGGGCAGGATCCGTGCGTGAACAGAAACCGTGGGCCCGTGAGCACGTGGGGATGCACAGAGAGCAGAGCGGGGGCGGGAGGGGGAGGGGGGGTGCACGAAGCCAGAGCTCCCCCCACGCTGCTCCCCATCCTTAGCCTGGTGTCAGCGATGCCATCCTGCCAGGACTGTGGCACTGGGGCAACTGGGGGCAGGACCCTGCTGCCCACCCCACTATGAGGAGGCAAAAGAGGATGCATGGGCACTGGGCACGGGCCCGGTGTGGGCTGGCGGGGAGAGAGGGAGGCACCGGCCAATCTTGCACAGGGTCCGTCCCAGGTCGGCGCGGAAGCGCCGGATGGAGAAGCAGTAGACGAGGGGGTCGAGGCAGCTGTTGAGGCTGAGCAGGGCCACGCTCAGCATGTGCAGCACGTCCAGGGTGGCAGGGGGCCCGCAGAGCGGCACGGGGGGCTGGCTGCCCACCCAGGGGGCCAGCGTGAGGTGGTAGGGGGCCACGCAGACCACGAAGACCAGCAGCATCCCAAGCACCATGGCACGCGCCTGCTGCCGGTGGGAGCCTGGCGAGGCGGTGGTGGGCACTGACAGCGCCCGGGCGATGGAGGCGTAGGTGCCCAGCACCACCAGGAAGGCCACGGTGAAGAAACCCACCATGGCATAGGCGTACGCCCGCTGCCGGCCATGCTGCTCAAAGCAGGTGGTGGCCCCGGCGCGGGCAGGGAAGGGCTGCCGGGTGGCCAAGGTGGGCACGGCACAGCCCAGCACCGCGCAGTACCGGTTGAAGCTGATGAGCGCCATGAAGGTGACGGCGCTGTAGGTTGCCAGGTAGTAGGCGGCCCCGGCCAGGCGGCAGGCAGCCTCCGAGAGCAGCCAGTCCCCACCAGCCAGGTAGTAGGGGATCCAGAGGGGTAGGGTGAGGTTGAAGAGGATGTCAGCCAGCGTGAGGTTGATGAGGTAGATGCGGATGGCCTTCCTCACCTTGCCACTCTGCAGGAAGACCAGCAAAGCCACCAGGTTGCCCGGCAGCCCCACGCACAACACCAGGCAGTAGACAGCGGGCAACAGCACGAACTGCACCGGGTCACTGGGCACACACTCGCCGGGCTGCCCTGCCGGCAGCGGCGCCGAGCCGTTCATCCCAGGCTCCTGCAAAGATGGGAGACAGTCAGTGGCACGGCCCTGAACACAGCCCTCGGGGGACAGGGAAGGAACGTTGACCCGGACAGGACAACCTCTCTGGCTGGCGCCTGCGGTAGCTGCTGGGCACTGAAGGCAGAGCCCCCACGCGGGGATGCCATCGTCTGCTAGAGGGGCTCAGCCTCCAGCGGCTCCTTGCAGGAGGCGAGGGGCTCCAGGACTCCCTCCCAGCCCCCACCCCCAGCCACATCCCCCCACGCCATGAGGGAGCCCAGGGGCCGCTGTCAGCCGCCCGGCCTGGGGTCCCCGGGGAGCGGCAGGCGCAGCTGCACCGCGGCCAAAAAGCTGGCAGCTGCGGGGCTTAACACCTCCCACGCAGCCGCGTGCTTGCTGGGGCCACCCAGCCCCATCCTGCTCCCAGCACCCCAAATCTCCCCACAGAGCCCACCTATGGGTAAGTCACCCACCAGCTTAGCATGCACTGGAGTGGAGAGACCCCGGCGTGGGGAGGGGGTACGAGCATGGGGCCGGCAGCCCCCCGCGCCCCCCAGCCCTGCGTGAGGCAGGTTTGCCACCCCGCTGTTTGCCGGTCCTGGCCATGGAAAACCTCATTGTGCCGCAATGGCTGTATCCCAAGGCTGCAGCTATTTCACCTCCCATCACCGCCTGCCCACACCTCGCCGACGGCACTGAGTCACCCAGCGGGTGTTTTCCAGCATGGCAGGGCCAGATTCAGCACATGCAGCACCCAGCACCGGGCTGAGGCATGGAAGACACAAGCTGCTGAGCCAGGCTGGGGGATTCAGGGCTCATCCTGGTGGCTTCAGTTGTTCTGCAGAGCCAATGCAGCCCCCTGAGAAGCTCCCAGCTCCTTTGACAGTTCCCCTTTTCTTTTTCCTTCCCCCACCCCTCTTTGCACAAGGGATGCTCCATCTCACCCACGGCGAGCTGGTTACTTACCCCACCGGGCTGGACCGGCTGCGTCCCCTCCGGCTGCGTCCCCTCCGGCTGCTCCTCGCCGTCTGGTCCAGCTGGGCTGGGAGAGGCTTTAAGTGCTGGGGGGGGGGAGGCAGGGGCTGCCTGATCCCCCCTCTCCCCATCCCGAGCCCCCGTGGGGGTTAGTGCCTGTGGGATGGCAGCCGGAGCGGGGAAAGCACCTGTGTGTGTATGTAATGGGGGATTCCCCGCGTGGAGCCATGCTAAGACCCCCTGCGCCGGCCGTGCCAGTACCAGCACGGCCAGCCCCTTCGCATGCCCCCAGCCCCATCTAGGACCATTTCCCAGGGCTCTTTTCCCACCCACGCCAGGATGAAAGCGGCGGAGGGTCAAGTTTCCACACCCAGCAGCTGGGGAAAAAGGGGGATGCCCCGAAAGGGATCAAAGCTGGAATCTGCCTCCTCCCAGCTCTTAGTGCTTCTGTTGGCTTCAAAGCTGGATTTAGGGGGAGCAGCACCCCGGGGCCCCCTCCCAAGCTCTGTGAGCATTCAACTCGCTGCTTTGCATGGTCCTGCAGTTTCTGGATGCTACTTTGGGACATCAAAGGTGCCACCCCAAGATGGTTCAGGTCCCGCTGGGCGTACAGGGGTGTTGTACCCCCTCTGGTCATCCCAAGACAGCCAGTCTCCCCCCACAGCCATCCCAGCCGCCTTGCTGGGAGATGCACTGGGTTCAAATGTGATCTTGGGGTTCACCCCAAGTGGACCATGTTGGCTGTGCCCACCCAGGGTGGCAGATGGGTCCCTGTCCCCAAAAAGCATGTGCCTGCCTGGGCACCCGGCTTCAGGGGTCACGTTGCTGCTGTGGCCCCCCGGGATGTGCAGCAAGTGGCCTGGCACATTGCTGGGTGGCTCCGGGTGGCCAGGGAGCTCCTGCCCCACGCGGGCTCTCCCCGACGGCTGTCTGCCTCCGCACCAGCTGCTGCCGGCTCCTGCCTGTCCCCAGTCCTTGTCCCCAGGTGTTGCTCCGGGGCACCAGGGCCTCCAGCCCCAGGACGTCCCCTCAGCTCCCACAGCTCAGCGTGGCAGGAACTAGAAATAAACAGGGGAGGCAAAACATGAAAAACAAGAGGCTTTATTCCCAAATAAAAAAAGCCCCCAGGAGAGCAGAGCCAGCCCCCGCCCAGTGTGGCCAAACGCTGGGAAGAGCCGGACACCTTGTGTGAGTTTAGCACGGAGGTGCCGGAGCGGTGGCAGTGCCATGGCCACTGTCCCAAAGCACCAGTCTGAGTCCCACAGCGTGGGGACAACCGGCACCAGGATCCCCATCAGCGGCAGGAGAGGACACACCATGGCTCGGCGGCAAGTTACCCCACACCATGCGATGCCGACCCCGAAAATACCATATAGGCATCGCTTCCTGCTGGCCGAGCCATCCGTCCTTCCCACCTCTGGTCACTCGAACTTGGGCTTGGTGGGAGCCACGTGCCCGCGGATGTTGAGCAGCAGGAGGAGGCCGAGGCAGAGGGTGGCAGGGGCGCACATGGCCAGGGGCTCCCGCAGCGCCAGCAGCGTGTAGATGGCACCTGGGCGAGGAGCAGAGCGTGGGAACAGAGGTCCCTCCCCAAATGTCCCCCGAGACCCTGTGCAGGGTGGCGGGCGCCCGCTCGCTCTCACCGATCATGATGACGCTGAGGATGAAGTTGCTGATCTCCTGCAGGAGCTGGGGCCCGAACGCCAGCAGCAGCCCGGCCACCACCTCCACCCAGCCCACCACCTCCAGGTACCGGCCCGGCTCCGGCGTGAACCCGAACTCCTTCAGGGGAAAGACCTCGGCGAACTGCACGAACTGTGACTTCTGGGAAGGGCGGGAGGGGAGCGGAGCAGCCCTGAGCCTGGGAACTGGGGGGCACAGCCCCTCTGGCGGGGTCTGCTCCGCTCAGCCCTGCACCCCAAGGGGCTCAGCCCTGCACCCCAAGGGGCTCAGGCTTGCTCACCCCGAAGGGCTCAGCCCTGCACCCCAGCACCCCAAAGGGCTCAGCCCCTTCCCTGGAACAGCTCTGCCCTGCACCCCAAAGGGCTCAGGCTTGCTCAGCCCAGCACCCCAACCTGCTCAGCCCCCCCAAGGGCTCAGCTCTGCACTCCAGCACCCCAACCTGCTCACCCCCCCCAAGAGCTCAGCCCTACACCCCAGCACCCCAAAGTGCTCAGCCCCACCAGGGGCTCAGCCCTGCACCCCAGGGGCTCTGTGCTGCCCCCCCCGCACCAGC